AGAGAGAGAGAGAGAGAGAGAGAGAGAGAGAGAGAGAGAGAGAGAGAGAGAGAGAGAAAAGAGATTTACCTTTAATTAGGAAAATTGGAAGCGCGGAGTCCGAGCGCCAGCGTTATCCCACCTTGTGGCGCAGCGCCGCACGACGTCCCGACACCGCAAGGATTCAAAAGTGCAAGGCTCAAGTCTAAGGGAGTCCTCTCTCGATCTCTCTCTCCTGTCTGAGCAGGCAATAGAGGACGGCGCGGGTGAAACATAATTACTGAAGTGAGGAGGCTGTGCAGGCTCGAGCAGCCCACACTCACTCGTGCTCGCCGTGTGCTTTTGCCTCAACTTACCCCATTCTGCCGCAACCCTTTCTTATTCTTACCCCGGCTGCTCGCCCGGTTGCGCTCGTTGGTGCAGACCCGTGCGCAGTTGTAACTTACTTCTTGCGCCCTCTATTCTCACACGACCCCCCTGCTCACACTTTTAACGCTGCACAAACCACCACCGCCACTCCCGCTGTTCTACGTCACCCTCCCCCCCTCCCCCCACATACGATGCTCCCACGGCCCACCTTGTTGATTCTATTTGTGTTGCTGTCAGCCAGTGTCACCCCGCGTGGTAAGCCGCACCACCGGCGGGGCGGGGGCGGAGCAGGGCCCCCGATGGCTGATGACAATGAACAGACTGCCGTTCGGTTTGCCTCAGCGCACTGCTCTCTCCCTCTCCCTGCCCATCTCTGTCTCTACTAATTATCTTCATTCCCTTCTCTCTCTCTCTCTCTCTCTCTCGCTAGCACCCACCCGTGCCTTTGCTGCACTAGACAACATTTTCCCGATACCAGAGTGCTAATTCCTCTCGACTCGTGAGGCCGGTGTCCAGCTGGGCGCGCGCCGCCTGGCAGCCCTGGCAGCAGCACCAGCAGGCTGGTCCAGCAGCGCGCCCTGCCTGCTGTAATACATCTCCAGGGGCACTCGGGCAAGAATCTCAGTCTTCCATTGAGCCGGGCGGGGCGCGCCTGGCGGGCCGCTGCTTCAAGGCTGCTGCCGCTGCTGCTGCTGCTGCAGCCCGCCCGACCCTTTGGCGCTCCTCACCCCACCGGATAAGACGAGCTCCAAATTAATATCTCAAGTTATGCGGCCTCCATAGGTCCAGCCGCCAGGCCCGCCCTCTGCGCTGTACTTATACTGGCCAGCCGGGGCAGGCGCGGCCGGGGCAGTCACCGCGGCGGGGCGGGGAAGACCAACGGCCTGCCTATACCAATCGCGCCCGATGTGAAAACATGACGCGACATCGATAGCGCATTTTATTCGCACTCCTCTTTTCTGTTTGTTTTTTTAATTTTATTTCCTCTTAAAAGAAGAAAATCCGAATACTTTTAAGGGAAGAAAAGAAGGAAAACGACACCGCGTCTTGGGAGGGCAAACATCGCCTGGTGCATTCGCCCCCAGGGCCGCCACCTCGCCACTTGTGCCAATCTGCTAAGGATTGCAGCGCCGGCCGGCCGGGCCCCGCCAGACAATGAGATCTTATCCCCAAGCCCCCGCCCGCGCCACCTCGCCCCAAGAAGCAGACATCGTTTTGTTAATTTTTTTCCCTTTTTGCTCTCAATTTTTTTGCCCCCGGCCTTTTCCACCCCGCACAGCACAGCACCAGCAGTCGTCATTGGCGGCATCTTTGCATACAGCGTTGTCATTAAAAGTCTCCGAGTCGCTGAGAATTGATCATTGTGGCGCTAAGAGGCCCCCGTCCGGCCCGACCGGCGCAAACAGCAGGGGGAGCGGGCCGGGGGTGCGGGCCGGGGGAGCTGTCACTCACCCAGTCGTTACGTCCAATGCTCACGTCATTTAAACTTATTTCCTCTCGCAGCGGACGCGACCCAACACGCCCTCGCCCTCCTCCCCCCTCTCTCTCCTACTCGTTGTTAGTGTTCGGTAATTTTATTTACGTGTTCTAGAACACTTTCCGTACTGCAAATAAATTATACTTATAAATGTGCGCCATATTCATACGGCCAAGACGGCCAAGACCTTTCGCCTCTGAAAACGGTATAGGAAAACAAAGTTCGACCGTTCAGAAGAACAACAGCGTACCTCTAAAATGTGAGGTCACGTTTTGAAGGTACGCGGCTGTTCTTCTGAACGGTCGAGTTGTTACCCACCCGTTTTCCACTCGTTATTGAAGAAGTAATAATGACGTTTTGTATCGGCACGTCCGGAAAAATAAATGCGGAATCCCACGCCAAACCGGTATAATAATCATTACTTTCTCGCCCCCGGGGCACAGGACAAGAGAACAAATCACGGTCCAGTCGGGTCGGGGGCAAGGCCTTGTGATTGCTGTGTCCGTGTCGGACTAAGTTGTTAGGAGGGGGGGCGGTGGGCGTGGCGTGGCGCGGTAGGACGTGGCATTCAAGTCTGTGCCGTCTCGTCCGGCATGCGGCTTGGATGTCCACATTCGTCTTGTTGTCAAGTTTCAAGTTTTATTAGCAAAGTCTCGTCGGCGACATGACTCACTGCCGGTCACGTTCCTCGAGATCCACACCCCGCCCCGCCACCTCATTCTCTCACGATTCCGAAAAGTTTATGGTCACACGGGCGGCACGCTGCCTCCGCTCCCTTCTGCTCCTCCGCACCCGCGTCGTCCTCCTGATCGACGCTCCGAAAACCTTATTCTCTCGCTGTTGCTGATGCTGGCGGTGGTGACCTCGTTTCGACCGCGTCGCGGTAAAAATAAATGTCTGAGTTTTAGTGAGGAAGAAAGGGACAATCTTTGAGGAGTTCTCATAATTTGAGGATGTGTCTCACCAAAAAAAAAAAAAAAAAAAAGGAAAATTCACGGAAATCCACACGTTTTTTAAGGAGACTTCCTCTCAAAATCTGACAACTTTTCGTTGAAATTATGGGAAAACATCAAAATTTCTCCTTCTTCCGTAAAAATATCATATCATATCATTTAAACTTTGGTCGGCGCACTGCGGCTGCTGCAGCTGCCAAAAAAAAAAAAAAAAATCATTTGAAAAATTAATAATCAGCATTTGAGAGCGCGGATCTCCGCGGACCAGCCCGAACACGAGGCCGATAACACCACCGCGTCCGTGACGCGCGCTAATGGACTCGGACCCAACTCGCCAAATTCACCTCCCACATCGCTAATCTGGATGTCGTCTGAGCGCGGCGTGGCGCGGCGCTGCGCGGTCTCTGCGGGTCCTCCTCAAGGAGCCCGGGGTGTGGTGTGGCTTCCTCCTCGGCGTCCTGCTCAGCGTCTTACAAATTCTGCAACCGCAACCATTAAGATGATTGAGTTGGATCCAAGTAGTCCGGCGGCCCGGCCGGGGCCCGGCTCAAGGAGGCCCCCCGCCCGGTGTCGTGTGGTCGGCCGGCCCCGCCCCGCCCCGCCACGGCTAGCCGGCTCCTTTGGCGTCTCCTTTATTAAATAGGACATCTCAGGCTTTGGCGTGGCGTGGCGCGGCGTATTACCATCCTGCTGTATCGTATGCGTTCCGCATCGGGAGCACGGGGCTGCACGGACTGTGAGGGCGGCGGGGAGGGGCAGGGGGGAGGACCCGCCCACCACCACCACCACCACCACCACCGCCACCGACCCCTCGCCCGGCCAGCTCCTTGTGTTCCTCCAAGTTTGGAGTCAACGGCTGAGGCAAGTTCTTAGTACAACTTACAAATTCCACGCAGCACCCCACAGCAGCAGGGCGGCGCGGCGGCGGCGGTGGCCGAGGAGGTGGACGTCCACGACGAGCTCGACCGCGCGCCGGCCACCAACAACAACATCGGCGGGATGTGAGCTGCATGGGATGACCCCTGCTCCCTTGACCGCACGCTGCTGCCCCCGGCCCGCAGCGCCGTGTGCCCTTTGAGGTGGGAAGTGCTTCATTGGATACACGGGTTCGGAAAACAAGTTGGGGTCGGGGTGTGATGCAGCCGTCACGGCGGGAAAAACAAAGCTGGAATGCGTGACGTTACGAAACGCGATAAGAGAAATGAAATTAAACATAGGAAGAAGTTAAGGATTTAGAAAAAAACATTGCTGAACAAGCAGAGCTCAAAGCTCGACAGCGACAGAATTGGTGTGGTGTTGCACAGGAGTGGTGTATTGTTACAGGAGTTGTGTAATTTTCCACGAGGGTTGTGAAGTGCTCCACAATCGATCATCGATGAGCCATTTTTGCTTTAAATACTACATGCACACGATACAGTGCATACGGTTTAAGTGTGCAGGATATTTTTTTTCCCTTGGTACACTTATTCGGGGCGCACTAAAAATCTGTGCTGCTCCAGCGTGCCGTCGGAAGGGATATCAGCGCCGCGACGCGACGGCAGATGATACGCCCCGGCGTCGCGACGCGCGTCGCCTCCGACTTATTTATCTCCCCTCCCCCACCCCCGTTCTCTCTCTCTCTCTCTCTCTCTGTTCGTCTCTTTCTATGCCGGGCTTTTTATTTGTCGTCTTCCGATAGCGAGTGCATTTCAGCGTATACACGACGCCTGTCTGACTGTCTGTCTGCCGGCCCGTTCGATCCATGCGATGACGGGCTGGGAGATGGACAGACTCGATGTCTGGTGATGACGCGCAGAGAGAGAAAGGACGAAGGGGAGAGAGGGAGGGAGAGAGAGAGACGCACACTCGCTCACCCATCCCTTTCACTCACCCTGTCTCTCTCGTTCACGCACAAATCTTGATGACTGTAGTATGTCGATGTTTTTCATCCCCGCCGGAACACAAAACAATTGCGCACACTACGCACCACTGTGTATTTTTGGCGGCCTCTCCCTCCCTCCCTCTCCCTCCCTCTCTCTCTCTCTCTCTCTCTCTCTCTCTCTCTCTCTCTCTCTCTCTCTCTCGGCCTCGCCAGCGGCAGCGGCTCCTCCGGCCTGACAGTGTCCGGCGCATGGGACAGCGCGGGGACAGCCCAGGGTCCCGGCCACGCCTTGTCACACTCTTCACGCGCGCATCCCCCAGAGTTTTCAGGTCCAGGCGGGCCCTGCACGTCCAGACCGACCCCGTTTTGTTTGACGTGTTTCCGTGGGGCGCGGTGGCGACTCGGGGCGAGGCGGGGCGGGGCGGGGCGGGGCGGGATGTCACGCCGCTCCTGTTTTGAATGTGGCCGGAGCCTAGCCCCCCCGCGCAGACATATATCCGCCCCGCCTCGACATCCTAGCGTCTGCCCGCCTGCCTGTTTGCGGCACCCTCCAGTGAAAGTTATAACTACGTTGAAGAACAAGAAGGCCATTCAGCACAGAAACACAAAAATATTTTGCAAGTGATGGTAAACAATAATAAAATCGGCACACCAGTGTGTATAATACAAATCGAAATGGCGACCCCTTTCAGAAGCGCGCCCATGTACTCAAAAGTAAATTTATTTATTTTAAAAGAGCATATGACAGATTCTCCCCCTTTCGCCGTAAAAATCTGCCGAGGTCCGGGCGGGCAGCGGGTGATGTGTGCCCGGCGGCGGAGCAATATGCCTAAGTGTATCTCTGCGAAGGTCCCGCGGAGGTGCTGCAGGGGGTGCATCGCGCCGTCAGAGGCCCGACCGGGAGCGACAAGTCAAACTCTTGGGTTAAAAACTTACACCACACAAACAAATCGCACTCGACACATCCGACAGTACAAACCCAGCAGAAAGGTATTCTCACGGACACCATTAGCCCAGGAACATTAGACATTTGACCCCCCCAAAATTCGCAACAGCGGGGAACTTTTAGGGCTTATAGTAGGTGGTCCTGGGAGTACTCCCACGGAGTTCCCCTAAAATCGGTCCATGCGTTCACCCGTGACGGGCGTTCAAAGTCCGCCATTTTGGATTTCTGCACCGTAATGGTTTTCCGGACATAGCTCCTAAACTATATATGCTATCGGAGTGGGCAAGTGCTCATGCTCTTCCCCAAACTGAGCGCTACAAAACCATGTGGTCGTATTTTCATGATATTTTGTTTTTCACTTCAAAAATCATGAAAAAAGTCCAAAAACTATTTTTTTTAAAGTTCAACTTTTTCTTTGCGGCTGATTTGTGGGCAAACGCGTAACTGGATCGAAAAATTGTGTCCTCTAAACGTTGTAGAGCGTTTCCTGACGATTCAGAATCACCTATAGATGTTTAAGTTCCCACTCTCCTTCACTGCTAGAAGGGAGCAAACGTACCAAGCGGCAGCGTGTTTTGGGGCTTGTTGGTGACCGGCTCCCATAAGGCTACGTGTATTTTGTAGAGCAGACATCGCTTCTAGCAACGTCTTCTCACTTTGCATGCCTTCTCTGTGTGTCCCAATTATTAAATTGACAACCCGAACCGATCGGTCCGACGGTCCGCAAGGGTGAAATCAGCCCCTTCAGAATTGTATGCATTTCCCCTAAGGCGCAGATAGGCAATCCGCACGACTTTTGAGGATTTTCTTCTATTTTCGGCTATAAATGACCCGTATTGTTGTATTGTCGGTAGGGAGGCTATGTAAGTCGGTTCGTCAGGTTCCTATCTGAGTAAAAAAAATGCAGCACATAAAATTTTCACTTCAGACGTGCTTTTTGGACTTTGTTCGATTTGCGTGCACGCACGACTTTTGAGGTTTTTCTCCTAATTTCTGCTATAAATGACCCTAAATCGTATTGTATGATAAAGATTTTTTGTACGTTCGTTTGTTGAAGTCTCGGCGATGATTATTAGCATTCGTCTAACTTCAGCAGTCTCATACACCAGAGCCAATCGTCTGATGGAAATTGCCGTATACTTGCTGCAAGCAAATCGAACAAAGTCCAAAAAGCACGTCTGAAGTGAAAATTTTATGTGCTGCATTTTTTTTTACTCAGATAGGAACCTGACGAACCGACTTACATAGCCTCCCTACCGACAATACAACAATACGGGTCATTTATAGCCGAAAATAGGAGAAAATCCTCAAAAGTCGTGCGGATTGCCTATCTGCGCCTTAGGGGAAATGCATACAATTCTGAAGGGGCTGATTTCACCCTTGCGGACCGTCGGACCGATCGGTTCGGGTTATCAATTTAATAATTGGGACACACAGAGAAGGCATGCAAAGTGAGAAGACGTTGCTAGAAGCGATGTCTGCTCTACAAAATACACGTAGCCTTATGGGAGCCGGTCACCAACAAGCGCCAAAACACGCTGCCGCTTGGTACGTTTGCTCCCTTCTAGCAGTGAAGGAGAGTGGGAACTTAAACATCTATAGGTGATTCTGAATCGTCAGGAAACGCTCTACAACGTTTAGAGGACACAATTTTTCGATCCAGTTACGCGTTTGCCCACAAATCAGCCGCAAAGAAAAAGTTGAACTTTAAAAAAAATAGTTTTTGGACTTTTTTCATGATTTTTGAAGTGAAAAACAAAATATCATGAAAATACGACCACATGGTTTTGTAGCGCTCAGTTTGGGGAAGAGCATGAGCACTTGCCCACTCCGATAGCATAAATAGTTTAGGAGCTATGTCCGGAAAACCATTACGGTGCAGAAATCCAAAATGGCGGACTTTGAACGCCCGTCACGGGTGAACGCATGGGCCGATTTTAGGGGAACTCCGTGGGAGTACTCCCAGGACCACCTACTATAAGCCCTAAAAGTTCCCCGCTGTTGCGAATTTTGGGGGGGTCAAGGCCTTTTTTTGTCTAATGTTCCTGGGCTACATCAGCGACCGATGGATAGAGCGACTATGAAACCCCCGTGTGGATTTTTGTCCAGGAATGTAATGACAAGAATTGACATAAAAAACTTAACCCCCTCTTTTCCCTCGAAACAAAGACAAGAACGATAACGACGCGTCATGTCGCGAATGTGAGCCGCACACGCAGACGGAGTGTAACCCTTTCTCATCCCGGCAGCTCTCTCCGCTCGCACGACGGAAGCAAAAATAAGCTCTTAATCTCGGCGGGGCTAACGGGATAATAGGGCGTAAGCGACACACGACACGATAAAAAGACGGCGTGCGGGGGAGGAAGTCGCGGAGGAGGAGGCGGCCCCGCCCACCCCCTGGCCGTCGTAAAGCGCGGCGGGGCGATGGAGACGCCGGCAGCGAGGGAAAGCGCGGCGGGAGCGCGGCGGGAGCCCGGGGCTAAATATATCACCGCGCGCCCGTAATAAACTCACCTATCACATCATTTGAATCGGTATGTGATTTTATGTTTTCCGTACGCTTCCTTGAAGGAGGAGGGAAATAAAGGGGCGCGCAATGGAATGGCCCCGCCCGCCCTGCGCTGCTTGCGCGGCCTCGCGCTCCTCCAGCGATCCGCCTGCTCCCTTTCGGCGTCGAAATGGCCCCTTTTATCCACGGCACGCTGGGCACGACGCGGCCGTGGCGCCGCCGCCGCCGAGGCAGCCGCCCCGCCCGTGCGACACATGTAGCAATCAGCTGATGGCGTGTAGCGCGGCTGTTTTACAAGGAGACCATTCCGCGCGTCGAGGCGGCCTAGAGCGGCCCACACGAGGCGGACGCGGCCCCAACGATATTTGCGACCGGAGAGAAATTTGCACGAGAGAAGATTAACGATATTGCAAAATAAAAGCTAAATAGAAAAAACTAATTGTATAGCAATGCGGTTACCAGTAGCTACATATTCACCTGTCACTAAGAATTTGGCTACCTGGCTAAAATTTTATAGGCGTGTGCTTTAACATTTAGTTACGTAACCAAAAACAAGGTTAATTTTTTTAGCTATATGACTAAATAATAAGTATTCCTCATTTCAGCTATTGGGTTAGCAATCATTTTTTACCGTGTGTTTGTTTGGGTGAGCGCAGTACCAGGTGATTCAGAGAAGACGCAGATGCGGGCGGGCTTGCCTATCCTCGACTCGGCGGGCGCACGGGTCCAGGTCTGGGGAGAGGTTAGGAGGGGACCCGTGCGCCCGCCGAGTCGAGGATAGGCAAACCCGCCCGCACCTGCGTCTACTCTGAATCACCCGGTACATCAGGAAAAAATTCTCAAGTAAACACAGGATAATCGTGAAAAAAATCCGAGGAAAATCCAGGTGAGAATGTGGAGCCATGGAGCACGGCTGCACGGCATTGCCCCGCCCCGCTCCTCTCCCTCTGCACACAGTAGCGCGATTTCCCTCCGCGATTTCCAACCCCAATCTTTTTGGCACGAGCGGTGAGTCAGTCATACGTGACGCGCGCACCGCCGCTTGCAATAATTGGCAATCATTATTATTACCACCACCACATTTTTTTTTATTTTCCACCCTTATTCAAGATTTTTCTCGTCTTCCGACGACGACGGTGGTGGTTTCGCGAAAAGGGGGGCGAATGGCTCACAATTTATTCCTGCCCTTGCAGCGCTGCCATGAGCGAGGCGCGCCACCAGACCTGGTGTGCCGCCCCGCCCCGCCCCGCCACACGATACGCCGGAGCGTATCCATCATGTGAACGACGTTCCGCTTGGAGGCGCTCAACGATCTTCCAAGAAGGCGGCAGTATCGGCGCGGCAGTGCAGTGCCGCCTTCAAAATCTAGAGGTCTGCAAACCACCAACAGTTTTTAACAACAATCTAGGAATAAGAGATTTGGGGCTGGGAGGGGGGGGGGGGACTCGTATCTAGACCTTGTCCAGAGAGCTTCACCAGGAGTAATAAGTATGATTTTTATTTAAATTGACCCCATATTATTTTTCATTATTGAAAATTGTGCTAAAAAATTTAAATTGATTGGCGACTACACACAAACTATGCTGCACAAGCAAGCACTAACACCAGAGGAAAAAACAGTGAGGAAAGAAAGTAGTACACCACTCTACCACTCTACACCGAGGGAAGAAAATCCTTGCAGCTTGCGCTCTCGACAAGTGCGTGCGAGAGAGAGAGAGAGAGAGAGAGAGAGAGAGAGAGAGAGAGAGAGAGAGAGAGCGCACGCCTTGGGACCTCAAGTCGCCTGCTGCCGCGCGACTTCCTTCCCAACATTAGACGCATCCATTTTTCAGCAATTTTAATTAATTAGTTTATTAATTAATTAATTGAGAGGTATGTGAGGCGGATAGTGGGGCGCCAGGCGCCGCGCTGGGAAAGTGAGTGCACTCGGGGGTCTTAATTCCTGCCGCCCCCCTCCCGTCCCGCCCCAGCCGCAGCCCCGCCCTCGCTGCTGCTTTCCCTCCGTTCCATTCTTAGCGAAATTTCATGAAATTATTAAGAGCCGAGAGGCGTTTTTCTTGGCCGCAGCAGCGTTGTGGCGGCTGCTTCTCGCATTTTCTACGCGGGATGTGTGCGCGGGGGCGCGGCGGGGCGCGGCAGGCCAAGGGGTTGTGGCTTCAGCCCCGGGAGGGGTAGGAAACCGCGGGGCACAGGAAACGGGGGACGGGGCGACGCGGGGGCGGGGCAAGGGGGCTTTCAGCTGGATAGTTTCTTTCAGTCCCTCCGCGACCACCAACGCCGCCACCGCGCCTAAGAAATGCGGCAGCGCGGTGGGAGCGGAGGGGCCGCGGAGAGACAGACAGGGAGGGAGGAAGGGGGGGAGGGTGAGAGAGAGAGAGAGCAAGAATAAGGGGAGGGGTTTAGGGATCTCAAACACGCTGGGCATGCCCAGAGAATAATTTTTCAGTGTTGCCTTATCGGACCAATATTGAGGCACATGAAATAGTTTTGAAATCACTAAATTACTGCCCGTTGGAAGTAGTCGGCGGATCGATGCTGCCCCCTCGATAAAGTGGTGGGCAACTGCTGGACACTGACACACAGCAGGCGACTGACAGGCACCGTTCGGCAGTCAGTGCGCGTCTGCTATGCACGCAAAAAAACAACAAAACAAACCATTGTACCAAAGACGAGAGTTGCACCTCCAACATTTTGTTTTTGAAATGGCTTCAGGAAGATAGGATGCTATTCCAACGACTACGATATGCTGGCTCAACGACATGGTCGGTGGCACAACCACCGGCTATCATAGGGTTAGCAGCATCGCGTCTTTGGACCAACAACCCGGCCACAAAAAACAGGACTGGCGTTGGAACACTGATTTTTTTTTAGTGTGGCGCAGGTTCAAGCCACCCTCCTTTTTAAAAGTTTCTCATCAAACGTTGTAGACAGTTTACTCATGTGCCGTATGGTGGCAGGTAGCCTTTCAACATCCTCACACAGGAGAAAAACAAAGGTAGGAAAGAACGAGTTCTAATGCAAGTCATCAAAAACAAGCACCCATGGAAACGCATTAAAACTACATTAAAGGTGTCAACATGGATGCCTTTACACATTTTTGTGCATTTGCAAAGGCATTTTAATTTATTCCCACCTTTATTATTTACCCTGTGCACTCACGAGTACTGGGTGGCATATTTGAATACGCTCCAGTTTTGAGAGTTTCGACCTTGGGCCATATTGGGTAGGGTGGTGTATGCAATGCCACAAAACCGGAGCGTTTCCAAAAATACACCCGGTACATCATTGAGTTCTTCGGCATGACTCGGCGTGCCTATGATGCGGGCCCTGGGCGGCGAGGGCGCTGCCAGCGCTGCAGGGCCTCAGAACAGCACACCGTCGGCCTAATTAACAAAAATTACAGAGAGAAACTAAATATCCCCTAGCGCAGCTCCACGATCCCCTGCCGCTCTCCCCGGCGGCCCCGGCCCCGAACACGGAGCCGTGCAGCGTAGCGCCTTCGTTTGCTATTAGACAAATGTTGACACTCTTACATATCTCGTTCGCCAGGACCGCGCCCCGCCCCACCCCCGCCCGCTCGCAGCGCCGCGTTGGGCGGGCTGGCGGGCAGGGCCCCGGGGAGAGGGGGCGGGGTTACAAGTTTACGGTTCCGAGCTAAATTTCATTAGCTCGTTCTTCTAAATATTATGCTCTGCCTCGGAAGGCGATCACCCCCCCCCATCCCCCCCGGTCTCTCTCCCCTTTCTACCGCCCGACCCGGTCAGGATTCGTTCACGCGCTCGACCACTCTTCAGAAGACTACAACAGTGGTTGTACTGCTTGGTGAACACTATACTTTGATGATGCAATAATTCTGGTCGGCTGAGCGACAGCAAAGCCCATCGCGCGCGCGCGCGCGTGTGTGTGTGTGTGTGTGTGTGTGTCGGTAATCACGATAACTCGAGAACGGATTGAACTAGCGACCTAAAATTTTCAGGTTTGTTTCAGAGTCGTTTTGTATCACAGACGTTCTAGACCCTCGACACTTCTTGAAGATGCGATTTTAACAACACACTTGTTTATCCAGTGCGGTGCTAGTGCAAAGACATACAAGTAGTGTAGACTTTGCAGACCGGATTATATTTCAAATTATCAGTGTGTGGCTCTGTCGACCCATCAGCGCCTTCCCTTGCCTTTTTTGGGTGGGCTTTTCTTCCCCGACGACCCCCCCGCCTCGTAGTGCACGCCGCCAACGACAGTGGAGTGACCGTCGGATGTGCTCGGTTTCCCTCCCGTCGACTTCTGGCCCAAGCGGCCCGAGCCCGACTTGTCCAGGGTGCCCGTGCTCTTGGTCGCGCCCTCCCCTATGCCGTGGTACTTGACGAACTTGTTGCCCTCGGAGCGCTTGATGATCGTGTGGGGCTCGCCGAACTCCTCCTCGGCGAACGCCAGCGCGATCTGCATGTAGTAAGCATACGGGATATAGCATGATTTAGCATGTACATTATTAGCACAACCCTCATTCTATTCGAAACTTAGTTTTAAAACTTTTCTTGCTTTGCAAATCAAACTGTATAGTACAGGATGTCAGTTCTAGCTGCAAGACTAGAGTTCTGCAAAACAAAATTATCGCCATGAACAAAAATGAAATTTCTGAGGACATCCACCATATTCGTATTAAAATTGTCTTTCGAGCCTATAAGTAATGGGTTGCGATTTATATTAAAACGCGTACATTCACTGAAAATGATTTCCACAAATTCATTTCCTATCGCATAACCTGTTTTAATACAAATCGGAACACTGTGTGCTCACTTGAAATATACTTATTAGGACAAAGAAGATCTTCAGAGTTAAAATTTTTGTTCATGGTTAGAAAATTGCAGATTTGGACCGTGCGCTTACCACAAGGACCGACAGAGTGCAAAGGACAGCGGTGAAGCGGGCCATGGTGTCGTTATGTCGGAGAGGTTATTAGGTCGCCCTTATATATCTGTTCACATTAGTGGCCCAGGTTAATGGTAATTGAAATGCATAAACGCGGGTCACGACAAGCCGACTAAAACTTGCTTCGTAATTCGAAAATAAAACACCTTTTATTCGATTTTCCTGCCAGAGTCGTAAAACGGAAAGAATAATAATAGCAGCCCGGCCGTGCACACGCTAAACACGTGGTTTCTACAAAGCTACCGAGAAATTGTCTAAATGAATGAGCCACGTGTTTAGCCGTTCCAGGAAACCTAGAGAAGAAGTGTTTTCACCGTGCGGGCGTGCACTGCTTTTCACTTAAAATATTTACATTTGCACATTAGTTATACAGTATGGGTTATAACTAGAATTACGGCAAAAGGTGTGCAAAATCAAGACATTTCAGAGAGCTTCAGCAGCCACACACACCATTTTGCGGACTCCGATGTTTGGCTGAGCGACAGGGAAGCCTATTATTCCAGTGATGAACAAAAAGTTCCGCGCGCCTAGAAAATTAAACTAGCAACCTGAAATTTTGAGGGTCGTTTTGTTTCATAAAAGGACAGATCAAGTTCAAAGATTATCATTCTAGCTAAAACATTGACGTGTCAAAAAAATCGAAATCAAAATGCCCCCCCCCCCCAAAAAAAAACAAACAACAAACTATTGTTTGAAGACTTTCATCAAAGTAACTGGACGGTGTAGAGTCTGAAGGCCAAAATTCCGTCCGTTCGGCTCTATCTCTAACCGCTTGGGCACTAGATGGAGATTCCTACACGACAATGGCCCCAAAACAAATAAATGTTTTTCCTAAGATATTTTTGATGGTCTGCATTGGGGTAACTCGTCAAAATAAAAACCCCTTGAACAAAATTTTGTGACTTTTAAAGCCAAAGACCTCTTTACGTCTCTGTCTTTTGCCCGACTCGGGTGTCAGCGCCGCACGCCTAGGTAGATGTATGTCAGGCGCGTCGCAGCGTAACAGTGTTGGGTGAGATATATCGCGAAGCCTGTTAGGCGAGACGTGCCTGGCGTTGGCGTACATCTACCTAGTAATAATTATTGTAATATTTCACATGCAGTTTTTATTCCTTCAAGAAAATAAATAAATCCCCAAACTGACCCATTGGAATGTCTGTCGGTGCTGAGCCATCGGGATGCCATTTAATGAGCCGCCTCTGCACTTTCCAGACGGCTCAGCCTCACGGCTCAGCGCAAGCACTAATTAGCCCAGGGAGGGCTGGCCAGGCGAGCCGGGGGCCGACAGTAAGCTGTCACAATTAGACGCGCGCTAGATTCATCTGCCTTTTCTCTTTTTTCATATTAATTATGATTTTTTTTCTGACAAGTAAATATTCCACCTTTATTTTTCTGCACAGCGCCGCCTGTGCTGCATGCCGTGCACTTTGTGTACAGTCGCGAGCCCCGCCCCATCCACCGGTATAGCACGTTCTGGCCCGAGTGTGCTTAGGCTTGGCTTAGGGGTCGGCGGGGAAGGAAGGTAAGAGTTTCTCACAACTTTGCATCCATGGTTGGTTCTACGTAGCTTTCGGGTCCACCACCTCTACAACCGGCAGCAGCCGCAAGCGACCAGGGCTTAACTACACAGCAAATACGGACGTGGCAGGGCGTGGCGGGGTGTGGCGGGGCGCGCTAGCCCTGGAGGATGCTGACGTCGGATTTACATGCAGTCCGGCCGCACAACCACCCGGAGCGCCCTGGTTGAGATCGCAAAGGGTCGCGGAAGCAGACAACGGGTCCCTTTGAGCTCACCAAAGCCGAAAGGGTACAGCTGCAAGTGTGTGCGAAGGTGTTGCACGTTATATACTACACAACCATCATCAAATACGAATTAATAACAATACATTATCGCGAAACACCAAAACAATTGAACCACCTGCTCCATCATCGTTTCTTTGAGACGCACACATCGCTAAAAGTCAGAGCGCTCCAGCTTACCGACTACACAGGCACAACCGTCGCGGGGCGTGCCGGGGCGTGGCGTGGTGAGGCGGGGCGGGGCGCGTAGCGCGGCTTTGGCCATACCGAACGCCCAGAACGGCATACCTTCCGGTCCATCAGTAATGGGAAAACTTTGGTCAGAATCTGCTGGTGATCGCTGAAACCTGGGGCCCTGCTGTGCGCTGCCTGTTCGGGGCGGGGCGGGCCGGTGGGCAGGGGCCTGGACCCGTCCGGTATTCCAAACTAACTCGCTACTATCGGCGGCACCGGCACCGCGGCCCGGCCCGGCCCGCAGCCACGCAGCGAGCGATAGGTGGGAGGTGAGGTATCACCCGAGAGTGCAGAGCAGCAAACCGGCACACGCAACACCAACTTATAACAAGTAAAATAAAATCTTAAAAAAAAGAGAAAAAAATTCTTACCAAATTATCATGAGGTGCGAATTCTGTTTTTTTGGGCGTGTGCGTGCAAACTGACCGTCGTCCGGCCTCGGATATTGAAACGTGAAGGATGTGGCGGCGGGGGCGCGGCCGGCGGCAGCCCCCGGGACGCTCCCTCGTGGCCGTACCCTTGTCCTCTTCTGACGGAATGACGTTTACGAATTTGGATGAGGAATGAAGGGATTGCCGCTGAGGGAGCCGGGGCAAGGCGCGTCTAAAGTGATTGGGGTCTTGAAGAAGAACACGACGAATATCTGAAACAAGAAAACAAAAAAGGGATAGAGAATACTTGAGGGTTGTCAGTAACGTGACAGCGTGGAGCATCAAAGATGCTAATATTTTGGGTTTTTCACAAAACAAAGTATAAATAACAAATATACATAGACGTATGTAAATAGGAAAGTGCTTTTACAAATTTAAATATAAATTTATTTATTTACGGTTTACAACAAATGAATGTGATCTTATGCGTTCCTTCACTACACAATTTCCACACACATCCCTAGGGCGGAAAGGGGGGAAGCGCCGCAGAGATGGCGGGGTCGGGTATATGGGGAGGAGAGCGCAAAACAGACCAGCGAGCGAGAGAGGGGGATATATGAAGGAAACAAAGCATCCGTGTGGAAGCAGCCAGCCCCCGACGGCAGAAGGCTTCGTTCTGTATGCATGCATTGTGCAGTGGGGACCAGTCGGGGACCGGCCGGGGACCAGGCGGCGAGAGGGCGTGTCGGTGCGCGGCGTGGCGAGGCGAGGCAGAGGATCAAGAGGTCGCGGACGGGGCTCAGCGACTGCCGTGGCCGTGCATGTACGAGTGAGCGTGCGCCAGGTGGGCGCTGGCGGATCACGCGATCCTTTTGTAGATGTACTCCACTGTAAAAAAGTAAACTCAGCATTTGCAACAGTTAACACCTCAAAACTGTGAATTATTAGAGTGACTTAATCCTACGGTTTACAGTGGATTTGCACATCTTGAAGTGTATTTTCTTACCGTAAACCAGAAAAAACAGAGCACAAAATTGTCAAGCATAAAATACAGTTTCTACGCTACGAGTTTGTAGCACTTTAGTAATATATTACAGTACTGCTCCACGCCAAATAGGACCGCCCGCCCGCCCGCCTCACTCGCAAGTAGGTGCGCATCCTGTCCGCTCCGTCAGCGGGCAACGGCGCGCGGCGGACGCGTCCAGGGTGACCCTGGCGGGCGAGGTGCGGCCGGGCCGAACAAGACGACGTCTACCCAAACTTGTCCCACAACTTTGACGTATTACACATGAATGGACGCGTCGCCGCCGCCGCTGGGCCTTGAGCCGCCACCGATGACCCCCGAGGATCGTCGGGTAGGCTCTCCCGCAGCACACCGCTGGCCCCCGCTTGCCTACCGCGCGCCTGCGGTACGCCGGGTAGGCACTCCCGCCACACACCACTGGCCCCCGCTTGCCTACCGCGCGCCTGCGGTACGCCGGGTAGGCACTCCCGCCGCACTCCGCCGTTTCCCGCTTGCCTACCCGTGCTCGCGTCGCGCCGGTCGAGCGCTTGCCCGGCGGGCCCTGACGCGTCGCGCTGGGCCGCCCCGTCCCGCCCGCGCGGCGCCGCCATGCCAGCGGGTCGCGCCGCGGCGCCGAGGGACGGGTCCAGGTCCTCCAACTGTCCCTAACTCCATTTCTGGGACCGGGGCGCCCCCCCTCCCCCCCCCGCCAACTTGTGAATATTTGCCACTCGCCCGTGAAAACACGTCTCGTCTGTCGTGGCCCCGCCGCCCCCGTGGTCCCTTTGGGCGGACGGCCACCGCTACGGCCGGGGGTTCGAACACCGTCCCGCCACGATGCCTTCTCCCTTTCTCTTTATCTCGGTGTGACTGACTGCCTCGCCGGCACCGTCTCTATCCGACTCCAGATCACCCTCTCCAACCCCTAACCAACACCCTGGCTGGCTGCGGCTGTCTTGGCATGGAAGAAACTCGTTCCTTGTCAGCGGTGAAAATTTTAAGTGGTAAGTTGGGTCACAAGTGCAGCTCTGTCTCTTTCTTTCCCGCCGCGGCCCCCTGGCTCCCCCCGGCAGGCCCCATCCCTCCATCTCCTCCATCTCTCTCATCCGGTGCCATTTCCGCCGTCCGCAACGTCTTCCAGTTCCTCTCCCGCAATTAATACCCAACTCTTTCCTCCTCTTTATCTGGCAGGGCGTCGCTAAGTGTCTCGGGGCTGCCCCGCCCGCCCCGCGCCGCCCCGCTCTCCCGGGGTGTCGCGCCACCCCATTAGGGGTACACGACTCGCTCCGGGGAGGAGGGCCAAAACAGGGGCAGAGGACAAAAAAAAAAAATACGTACATTTGATAAATCAGTGTCACATCATAAGTTTTGTGACAGAAAACAGAAGTTGTATGTGGTTGTAATTTGAGAACTGAGGAAAAAATACACACGTCAAAATGGCCTGCTGTATGGGGAATCTCGTAATGTTGAGGTGGAGACGAGGCCACCATACGTGTAAATACGGCAGGCATGATCCCCTCTCCCCCCTCTTTACGCTCCCCTCGTGTAACTCTTCCCTTTTGTTCCTCGCCTCCCCTAATGCACTTTCCGTTCAATTTTTGTGGACGGCCGGCTCCAACCCTTTTCCTCCTCCTTGTGCTTGTTCCCTTCAGGCTTCTCCCCCTTCCTCCCGTCTGCAGCCCCACCACGCCCCAGAGCGATGCGATGTCTTGTAACAGCGAGTTTAAGTCTTTCTCTCGGCCTTATTGGGTCTCTATGCCTTGAGCGTCATTTCCTGGGCGAAACTTGAGTCCCCCGGACGACGCCGACTCTCTGTCGCTGCGCGCCACGTCCATTCGGTGCGATCCTCTCCCTCTCCCCGACCGGCCATAACCTAATAGCAGCCTTCAAACTCATCTTCTTGGAGATGAAAAACGATACAGGCCCACCCGCACGCAAACCAATTATGCACGGTTAATGATATCCCTCTACCCTGGAAAAAATGAAATTACAAGTCTTAATTGGCCATTGCGGCGGCCGCGGGCAGAACTCAAAGGGATCGTCGGCCTCGCCGCGAGGCCGCGGGGCTCCACAAGATGAATACGCGTCCCGGGACGCTCCCGGCGGGGATCGAACCGGACTCCGGACTCCAGAATTCATGTTTTGAGATCCTCGATCTCCTGATGGGATTACTTCGAGACGAGCCAGGCGTTCACCATCCAAACGGCGATCGGCACCATGCCAAACTCGCATGGTCCTTTGGTCCTCCTCCAGGTGACGCTCATTTCATTGCATTTGACCGTGTTTCTAAGGTTTGTCGGTCTGCCAGGACGGTCGTACACCACCGAAACAGGTTAACTATATAATTTTATGAGAACATTTGATAGCCTTATCTGACCAAAAATGAATACATAAGGCATACAGTTGGAATGCTAAGAAATTGTTGAGGGGGCTAAGGATGTAATGCCTCTTTCTTAAAAGAATAAAATAAAATAATTAAAAACCTTGAATTGCTACAAAAATGTCAAATTTCACCTTTTGGACAGGGGGTGTTCTTGTCTAGGCACTCACGCAATAGAACTCACACAGGGTGCTAAATGGCGCCTTGTTTTTTTAGTGCAGCGAGCGAGTCTTCTGCACCGAACGTCCCGAACGTCCCAACGTCGTGGTGTCCCTTTCTCGGTGCGGAACGGTCCTGCTCGTCCAGGCGATGGATGATTTGTGTGTCGTCCATATGATGTCCTCTTTGTCGTGTCACGTACGTGCGGGCGTGGCGGGGTGTGGCGGGGCGTGGCGGGGCGTGGCGGGGCCCAGTCCCCGGGGGACAGGGGCGGCCACAAGGCACAAGGCGGCGCCGGCTGGACAGCAGATGTGGTTTTGATTACGCGCGGGATGCGCCCGTCCGCAGCGCCCGTCCATGTTTGACGAATTGCTTTCGGACGCGACCCGCACCATGGCGCACATGGCTTCGCAAAAATAGAAATCCTCCAAAAAAAGTCAACAAAGACGAGAACAAAACCGCCGCGACGGGTGTGTGCGAGTGTGTCATCAAAGATCATATCGGATCGGCCAACGAGTTATATTCAAGAACAGTAAATGATGCGATTAAAAATAATGTTCACTTTTATCGAACTGCACCCATAAAATGTTCTCTTTGTAGAAACGAAATTGCGCGAAGGAACTTCTTACTTTATTTTAAAAAGATTATTGGAACACATAAAAATCGCCCATGCTTGAGATACAATCAACAATTTATTTTGGCGAGGTTTTGGTCAGAGTGTCACAGTAAAATCAATTGCTTTGAGTCCAAGAACACTTTTAATGGCTGTAGAGCATGATAAATTAATTAATTCATAAACAAAAGAGGGTTGTCCGGGGTTGTCCGAGTTTTGTTTCCTGATGGTATACACGTACGTACACCAAGACCATATCTAATGCGGGAACAACACCTCGACGCGACCACGCGATAGGGGACGGGACACGGCCCGCTCCCTTCTTTTCCGTCCCATACCAGGGGCTGGCCGGTGGTGGCTGCGCCCCCATAAGTGGGCGCAAACGGGCGCCTTGACGGCCTTGGCGGGCTCCCTGGGGGCCTCTGTAGCGCCGTGCAGACGACACCTCCCGATATCCAATCGCCGGGCCGATACACACATGGACTCCAGCCGCCCACCTGCTGCTGGCCGCCCGCCCCCGGTCCACCAAATAACACTTTTGAATTATATCAACTGCCGTAATTATCATTTTATCCGTTTTTGTATTCCTTTTCTTTCTTTATCTACTTTTGAGTCTATTAACAAAGCCGCGACCTGCGAAATGTTTTCAAGTTGATCCTACCTTTATAATCATCTCAATCTTTCAGTGGACGCGCCCCTTGTTCCTTCAGCTCGCCGTGTTGTGCCCCAGCGATCTGTTAGCTTGTCACAGTAGTGATAAACATCATTTCTCTCTCTGTTGGTAATTAATGATTGCAATATGACAAGACCGCTTTACTTTGCCAGAGTGATCCCACTCGTATTTATTGCATCTCGTCAGTGAGTCGCGCGGCCCCGGCAGGGTCATTGCAGGCCCCTCAGTCCCTCTCTCTGCACCGTCAGCCCCCCGGCCCCACCCGGCCCCGCCAGGCGCGGCAGGACGCTGGCTAGCTTGGTGCCGCTGAGAGAGGAACTGCTCCCCAGGGTGAAATGCAGAGCTGACTAGGAGAGGATGTGTGGGGAAAAGGGGGGGGGGGGGCGCACTGGGAGCCGTTTGTTGTGTGGCCGGCCAAGATTTGCAGACGACATCAGTCGGACA